ACATGTAACGCGATAATATAACATACCATGTGAGAAAAATCCGTGTATCGAATCTATGAAAATTATCAAAAGTAGTTTCGAAGCGTGAAATCGTTCGAGAAAACGGGAATATATTGTACAAAAATTCAGTATCGCCGCTTCGGGCATTAGACAAGACGGATGCTGGCGCGGTATATGATCGTACATTCATCTCGAGAGTTACTACTATGCCATCCACAGGAGTAGGAAGTCACCCGGTATTTACAGTTAGACGATCGGCTGATGATCGAACACGTTGCTTTCGCTCCTCGTTCTTGAGAGGCAAATGTTCTGCGATTCTTGTTTTAACCCTTAACATTAGAAATACTAAATTTGATAGTACAGGTAAAATTGTATTATTATCTAGCAATTAACATGTGTGTATAAATAAAGAGAGGTAAAAGTGTTCATCGAAAAAATGAAATCGAGTTAAAAAATGGACATTATAGAAATATGACATATTTCTACAAGTTAGAGAAATAAATCTATAATTGTTGTATTTTTGTAATGAAATAATCGCGGAAATAATCCATATGAGAAATTGTCTGTTAATAATGTTGACGGGTGTGAAATGTGTACAATGGACGCACGCATGTCTCAAGAAAGGGAGAAAACGCGCGGTCGGGCCACGTGGAGAATGGAAGATAGGTAGGTAGGTAGGTAGGTATTATTATCTAGCAATTAACAAAAAAAAACAGATTTTAATTCGATGTTGAACATTTCTTTAATAAAAATTTATTCGCTAAAGAATAAATTAATGAAATTTTTTTTAAAGAAAGTTTATAAAAATTCTAAAGAATTGCAGCAAATATTGCAAGAAATCTACAGAAAATTGGACATTTTATCAAATTTAATTAAGGTAGAGCACGCAGGTAGATGACGATGAGAAGGAGGACGACGAAAGAATACGAAAGGAGGTGGAGGTGCGAGTCGGTATAAAAGGGTCGCGTCGAGACCGCCTCGTCTGTTTCAACACTCTCACCGAGCCGCTCGGTGGATCGATCCGGGTGGAAGAAACCGGGACGTTATATATACGCGTATCATCGTCGATCGTCGATCCTCTACTTCGAGAGGACATAGAAAAGGAGAGTAGAGACAGAGAGAGAGAGAGAGAGAAAGAAAAAGACAGAAAGAGAGAGGTGAGTCTCTAAAAGATATGCAGCAAAGTGGAGAACAAAGTGTCCACCATCCCCGTCAGGAGTCGTCATACCGGAAATCTGTTCCGGTAACCGGACTTACCGAACGACCTTGACCGACTCCGCGTTGCCTTCCCTCTCCTTCTCTCCCTCTCGCGCCGCCCGGTTGAATCGAAGGGACAATCTCTCTCTGAGGGTTGAGTGATACTACAATATGTGCGACGCCAAGTACAGTGGGGTAGCTTCGTGTGATGTACTCGCATCCAAAGGACTCGCTGTGTGAATTTTTGTCATCGTTCTTCGAGTCTTTCTTCGTTCTGATTCGTCGCGATTCGTTACTTCCGGGTACTGATGCCGTTGCTTCTTGGATCGCGAGATCGTACGAAGTTAATGTGAAGGCACAACCTAAGTATAGTTCCAGACTTTTACCTTTTGAACGAAAGGTAACGGCAAAATTTTTCGCAGAGGACAAAAAGTTGACTGTATATACTTTTCGATAAAAATATAATAAAGAGAATATATAGGGTTTTAATATTATTAATTTAATATTATTTATTGTTAATTAATAATATTAATTCTGTTTAATTTTATTCCATTAAAGTTTTAAAAGTTTAACAAATTCAAATTGCTCGGATAAATACAGACTGAACAAATTTTATATGTAGTTCTAATATTCATTTGTATGACAAGTTTTCTAAAATTTGGATTTAACTCTTCATTAACACTCATTTATATCCTCGTCAACAACTGTCACAATCTTAGTGAAGGAAAATTGATTATTCTTGATGAATAGAAAAAATTTTCAGCGACAAGTTTGGAATTTTGAATGTAAGGTCAATGAAAACCATTCATGTACATATACATAATCAAGGATATTCTTACGGTACAATGACATTGCCTCAGATCATCTTACGTGAGAAGCATTCGTGAATAATTTGTCGATCGCAATAACGGGAATTCACGAGAGAAATACGCAAACATTATTGCACCTAATATATATGTTGATATGATAGAAGTAACTCTCTCGCGCCTTTTAATAAATAAAATGTCTTTCAAGTTAAATACAATAAGTGCTCAGCGCGTTTTTAAAAATCGGTCTTGTCAAGAAAAAAACCTCGTGTAAAAAATTATTTTACAATTAATTTATACATGAAACGTCATTTCATTCGCGACCGCATTATTGTTATTACACGCTGTTTGTATAGAAAAGATAAAAGATTTATATTATAGAATTGTGACGAAGTAGATCTCTTATTACCGTCTTTCTATAACAAATCTCAGTTATATTGTAAAAGAATTCGTATTTATTTTCGATGCACATCATTTTTCACTAAGGTCATAACGATTTCTCGTGCAAATCTGATATTTAATAATTCGATGTTATAGGTTGAACATTTCTTTAATAAAAATTTATTCGCTAAAGAATAAATTAAAGAAATTTTTTTTAAAGAAAGTTTATAAAAATTCTAAAGAATTGCAGCAAATATTGCAAGAAATCTACAGAAAATTGGACATTTTATCAAATTTAATTATGTTAGAATTAAATGTCTAATTTAGAATTCATATACGCTATCTTTTCAATATTTTAATTATATATGTATATTATCTTGTATTATAACACAATTTTAATTTTTAATAAGTTATGATAATTTAATATCCATAATTAAGATCTTCATCGGAGCACTCCTAAATGCAATTTATATCTTAAATTTAAAAAAACCCATTTTTTTCTCAATATTTGTTTGTATATTGTACATATAAAATTTATATCCTGATATTTTTTAAAAATATTTGAATTGTATAAACGTGTAAACTTTTAAGATTTCAGCTGCAAATGAGGCAAGAGAACAGCAGAAGCCCACTCTCGCTCTCTGCTCCATATGGTCGGTCCATATACTTGACAGAATAAATTCATCAATTGTGAAGTTATTATCTTGAGTGTTATCCAATAGCAGTACTAGTAATAACGGTAATAATAGTAATCGCGATGGACGATCGCGTAAGCTTAGTTTTTAGTAGTATGACTAGTAGTATTAATACTTTACACATGATAATTAATAATTAGGGAGTCACAAAAATTATCGATTAACTTATGGAATATTATTGAGGGAAATTTCGGATTTTTTGACATTTGAAAAACTTGATCTCTCATTGCATTTTCTTAAAATTTAAAATAGTATTAGGAATATATAGCAATAGAATAGCATCTTGTATTTTAGCTAAATCTGAAGGACTTACAGTTATACTACTTTATAGAAACAAGCGAGAAAATGAAGAACTAGTACTACTAGTCTCATACTTCCGGATTATCAAGAAAACATCGAGGACCTGTCGCAAAAAAGCATTCTCAATAGATCCACACGACACACAATACAATAGAGTTTAATTACGCGACATAATTATTTAATATATTTTTATCATTCGCATTACGCGCAGCGCCGATCATTCACACGCGAGGTAATCAGTGCTAATTAGCTGCCTCGAGATCATACAAGTCATCCCGGCAGAACGCCGATCCGGATAATACATTATTTATCGCGAAAGTAGTACATGAACAGCGTCATCAAACGAGATATTGAACGTTTCGCCAGAAGGAGCGAGAGTGACAATGATCTCTTTTGATGCGCGTTTGATTAATCTCAGATCTGCTGATAGGCAATGTTCCTTCTTGCAATGTGCTTTCGAGCAATTTAGCCATCGTAGAATCTTACTTTGAATAATGTTCAAAGTCAAGAACTCTGTAGATAACTTAACAGTGTGTTAATATAAGTTTAAAAATTGTAAAATTCTTAAAAAATTATCGCACAACTTTTGAAATATTAAAATATTGTTATAAATATCTCTTTTGTTATATCTCAACAAATAATAGTTTACATAACTCGATTCAAGACATTATTAGTATTGTCTAACGTGATGTCAATTATATATATATACATTATTGTTATTACACGCTGTTTGTATAGAAAAGATAAAAGATTTATATTATAGAATTGTGACGAAGTAGATCTCTTATTACCGTCTTTCTATAACAAATCTCAGTTATATTGTAAAAGAATTCGTATTTATTTTCGATGCACATCATTTTTCACTAAGGTCATAACGATTTCTCGTGCAAATCTGATATTTAAATAAAATATTTATATTATTAGAAATCTCCTTTAGAAATTCGATCGTTAAACAGTTAAAAAGACGCATCGAAGATACATCGTCAAGTATTCGTCGTATTTATTACTCTCTTTTAAATAAGATATCTAGTTTATTGCTACGCGGTTCGTAAATTTCATTTCGCGTTCGTTTCGCACGCTCGTGCTCCGAAAGCCAAAAGTGTACGCGTGGGAATGCGACACTATAAGCAACTGTTGACATCTTAGATTGTCGGTCGATCACCGGTCACGGTACAAAACGGAACAAAAAGAGGGTCTCGAGAAAAAGGCACAATTCTTTACGGTTAACTTGTAGTCTGGCATTTCCTGTATCACATGTTTATTGTGTGCCGATGCGAATAAGGTCCTAACTCTGATCCAGGTAACTAGGTGAATGAATTATATATACATACGGACCGTCATTAACGTCCCCCGTCATTTTATTAGCTATCCTGAATTATACCCGGAGCCTCTCAAGTCATTCGCGCTTTCCTTTATTTGTAAATATTTTTCGACCAATGTCCAGTTATATTTATTAAATCTATATAATAAATAGATGTCAAAAGGATTTTCACGCGCGCGCGTCCCGGGCAAAATCTATTATAATCTCATATCGTTGTTTTTGAAAAAAGTTTGCTAATATTTAATATAAGAAAAAGGATTGGATTTGCTAATACAATTACAAACTAATAGTTGTATTTTCTTCCGTGTTATTGCACAGAACCATGAGACTAGCGGTGCTGACGTTGCTATGCTGTCTGGCGATAGGGTCACTTGCCTCGCCGGTAGCCAAGATCACTGACAGCAAAGTGTCGACTCAGAACCTCGTTGCAACCGGCAGGCAATCCCCCGCGGCACCAGTTGCCGCTCCTGCCGACGACGACGACGATGACGATGATGATGACGACGACGACGACGTCGATCTAGATATTACTGGGGATGATGATGACGATGACGATGACGATGATGACGACGACGACGACGATGACGACGATGGCGATTACTTGGAGCGTTTCATCGAAGATATACTTGGAGGTGAGAAGAGTCTATCACATCTTTTAATCTTGCGTGATACATTTTTGTTAAATTTTTATTACAAAATACAAAGAAAAGAACAAGTGCATAAATTTGCATTTTTAATCGTTATATATTTATTAATAACTCTTAACTTGAATCTCTCTTCTATCGAATGACCAATTATTTGTCATCTGTAACTTGTTGCACTGAAAACTTTGAATCGATTTCCTTACTCTCTTCGATTTCTATCTCCATGTTGCTGTATCAATTTCTTTTCCATTGAATCCAACAATGAAAGAATCTCGCAAACTGACATACACCGTTATGCAAACACGTAGCTTCGTGTTACCTGAGAATCTCTTTCCATTTCTTTCCCTCTCGTTCTCTTCCTCGTCTCTCGTGTATACCTTCTCTCATAACGGTATTGGGTACTTTGACTCGTAAAAATTAACATAAATCGACAGCGATCTTGGAAAAAAAGTTTCTACGCGCTACTTCTTCACATTGACCTGAATACCGAAGGATAATCCGAGGTCGTCTCTTATACGAGGAAGCGCGTGTTAAATTTATAAATCCATAAACTTGTAAGAGGTGGTATGTACACGTATTGTAACCGGTGTGCCTTGCAATGTATGCAGATTGTAATGTTTTAGAGCGACATCGTGAAAAAATTTCTCTCTATATTTATATCGCATTTTTGAGTAATTCAGAACTTAGCAGTCGATGCAATTGTGCTTACGATTGAAACCAGTTTTAATAAATAAACTAGTTTAAATAGAGATACATATTTGTGAAGAGCAAAACTAGCTTTGAATCGTCTATCGAGTCATTTAGTTGACAAATCAGTCGTTTCTCTATGACATTCCCTCTTGTGTTCTATTCATGTTTTCTTCATGCTGATTTCTTCTATGATTTTCATTTTTTGCATACCTTTATTACCGTTAAGTCGTCATAGTTTCCATGAAATTAAATTGCGCATTTAATTATTAATTTTAATTTCTCTGATATAAAATGATTGAATTTGTCTGATATAAAGATATATATCTGTTACATCATGTTTAATGATATAACATAACTAAAGAAACGCAATTATTCATGCAATCAATGTTCCACTAAAAATTTACAGGAGAGGACGATGACGACGATGATGAGGATGAAGCCGCCGCGCCGGTTGCAGCCGCCGTACCCGCTGCGGCCGCGATTTCTCCACCAGCAGCTCCCGTCAATTCACCGCAGGTACCGCTCTCCGTTGCGGCCGATTTGAGCCAAGAGGCCGCCGAGGATGCCGCGGCGGCAGGCGAGGCGGCCGGCGACGATTCCGGTAGCTACGAGGACGAGGAGGGTGATGCCGAGAGCCAAGCCGCGTCCAACGTGCACGAGTCGACGCTCGAAGCTGCCGAGTCCATCTCAAATCCGGTATCGGTAAATGCCATTGGGACGGCGCCCGTTGCACCCGCTGCTCCGACCTCGAGCGAGGAGGACGACGACGATGACGATGATGATGATGACGACGTGGATCTAGACATTACGGAGGACGACGACGACGACGACGACGATAGCGAAGAGGACGATGACGACGACGATGATGAGGATGATGAAGTGGATGAGATCGCCGATATTGCCAGCGCTAGACACGCACGTGAGTTTAAGGGCAAGAAGGCCAAGAAACATAACGTCAAGCACGCCCGCAAATCGCCCGCGCGATCATCCCGCTCTTTCCGCGTTTAATCGAGTTTAAATCGAGTGACAAACTACAGTAGCGCGAATACCAGGTGACTCTCCGACCTTCTGCGTTCTCTTTGCCTACGATGATGATGACGACGAAGAGAAACATCGTCGTTTTCCTCTCGCATAAAGATTTCTCCCCGCGAGAAGATCGTTGCACACACCGATGATTGATTCCGTCTGAGATTTCGGAATCGTCGGTTTCGCGAAATCTAATTAGCCGCATCTACGCCCGATCGCGACGCTCACTCGTGGAACGAAACTTATTTTCCTTCCACATTTTTCTATTTTAAATCTTTTTAAAGTTTAAACTCTCTAAATGTAGCGAGATTTTTCAAAGAGAGAAAGAGAGAGAGAGAGAGAGAGAGAGAGAGAGAAGAAAGTAAAATAAAATTCAAATATTTTCATAATTTATAAAAGTGTCAAAATATACTATAAAGATATTAAGCTTGCCATTGTTAAATTATTTTTTACGTATATGTGTATATAATTAGACTTGAGAATGCATTTTATTATTTTCATATATATCTCGTGTAATAATAAATAATAATCACATCAATATATCAATTTTTTAGAGATTATTACAAATTCTAAATTAGTTTACGTCGAACGTTCAGAAAGTTATCATTGACTTATCAGACGTTTATAAAATTAAAGTAATTTTCTATTAAATTAATTTTATTAATGGATAAATCTCTACAATAATTTATAATACTTCTTCGACAGTTGTACCATCTCACAAGTGGGAATAAAATCTCGCTATAAATTTTTTCCGCTATATCGATATGATAGTTTATCGATTGGGCGATCGGATCGGCTCTTCTTTTCGAGAAATTATTCGATGGCAGAAAATTCGCGCTAATAAAGTCTCGCGAGCAGAGAATCCGATTTTCTGTTACTTTAATTTCGCGCGACCACAATCATTCTATCTTTAATTATCTAGTGTTAATTATTTATTGTATTTATTAACAGCAATACCTCTATTTAAAGTCTCATCGGATATTGCATCGCACATAGACTGACGCATCTGCTCTCTTTTTGTAGGTTTTTGTATCTTTTTTCTAGCTTGTCCATCTTATAAAGTTTCCTTGGTGGACCTTGCACTATTTCCATCACGAACTCTATAAACGTGTAGTGCACAGGAAATGTACAAGTAGCTACATTTCCCCTAATGTACTTTGATATTTTAGTCCACACATCATATTCCTCTGATCAATTTGAAATAATAGTAATCGTGCCACGACCATCGGAAGCTTCATAAGAAAGATAAACACGTACCAGGCAACGCAAACGTTTTAAAAAACGTAAACATGCCTAATAACGCTTTCTAAAAACATTCTAAAGCATTAAACATGTATCAATTTTCTTTTAAAACATCTAACATCCTATTTTGTTAGATGTTCTTCAAGAATTCTTTAGACATCTATAAAAAACATGCCAATTTTTTAATTATCTTTCAGTTATTTTTCAAACAAATATCTAAAATATATTCTAATTTTTCAAATGTTCTTTAGATGTTTTTTAAATCTCTCAAATATTATATATACATATTAATCTTATGATTAATATGTTTTTAATATATAATTAAGATGTTTTTTAGAATTTTTTAGAAACTATTCAAGCTCTAATTCTTTGTACGTCTTGTGTTGCTTGGTATAGCATTGAAATGCTTTGGCTTGGTGACCTCACGTCACGTATTTCCCCCCTTTTCCAACGTCCGCGATCCGACTTACTGTTGATCGACTTACGAGTGATCATTCAGAAATATATAAAAAGAAAAGAAAAAAGAGAGTGCGTGTGTATGAGAGAGAAAAGAAATCAAAATTATGAGATATTATTTAGTTTCGTTTATAGGATCACAAGCGACATCAAAATCGCCTACGTCGGAAAACAGGACGAGAAACTGTCTGATCTATTTCTGTCTTCTTAAATTAGCAATAGGACACTTTATCTGGCAATGGCATTTCAAATCTTTTACCTTTAATTAATTGTTCTTTTCTTAAATATACAGTTAGTAAATATATGATAAGAATACATAAATGCATATGACAAATATATAATTTAAAAAAATTAATTTACTGAACTCTTCATATACATATAGAGTTTTCTCTATTTCATAAAGTTTACATGAAAAAGTTGTCTATCACTTGCCAAATTAAACGTGGTCGATGATGGTGTCGATTGTTCTGTGCGCGCGCGTGGCCGAATCGAGAGTTTTTTTTACGACGTGTCTAGACTTGTACAGAGACATTGTCCGTTCTGGATTGTGCAAAATATAAATAATTTATTATTTTTACAAAATATTCTGTGTACCATCTATTTATTTCATTCACCATTGTCCAGTCGCATCGAATCAGTGTCAACGTGTTTGTGTCCAGATACACTCGTAATACGCGTAATCCAGGAGGATAAGTTCTCTCTGTTTTTTTTTTTTTTTTTTTTATTTAACACATTTTGAAGCGAAATAGCGCAAATTTCTTTCAAACTTGGAAATTGAGATAATTTCGGTTCAGATTCATTTCGATACCACGGATGCGGAAAGATTTAAACGATTAAGTAAACGAATAAAAGAGATTTTAGAGATTTTATTTTCGCGTGTGCGTGGCATCGAAATTTCTTTTTTGTGACGTGACGTGCGGTAACCCACCTGGCTATTTGAATGCATTCGATAGAGAGATGTAACAGCGCTTCTTTTTTCCTAACTTCGACCCTGCTTTTTTTCGCTTCAGCTGTATTGCCTATCTATTAGTAAATGATCGCGTGTTTGGTGGACGGTCTAGGACGATCGACTACAACAACGTGTACCTGGACAGTAGCACGACCACCTTTCCATTTGTCCTTAATGTTCCTTATCATTCCCAAATCCCAAAATAGATATGTAATTTGCAGTTAATAACTAACTAATAATTGATAAGAGAGTTATAAAGTAGTTAATAGTTGATAAGTAGATGATAACTAAACGGAAAAGAAAAATTTGGTATTTATATTTTGATGACAATTTGACGACAATTTGATTCAACTTATCGATACGACAAACTCCGCAAATATCTTTCTTTTTTTTTTTTATTAAAACGCTATTCTTTTTGTAAATATTCCCTTTGTTATTTTCGTAGTTTGATCTGTTTGCAGATTTTATTTTAAACGGTTTGCTTTTATTTGATCTTGTTATTTTAACTGTAATAAGATTACTAAAGTCTATTACGAGTCTATAATAGTTTTGCTTTCATTCATTTATATTTGTTTGGCTCTTATAGTACACGATATTACGCTTATTGATAAGGATTAAAATCATTCAATTTTTAATATCGTAACTAGGAAAAGATAAATCTTGTACTCATTGTCATATCTCGACTCAAGCGCAGAAATTAACAAAGCTTTTAAATGTCCAAAGAAAAGAATGAATATATTTTATATATTTTAGAAATATCTAAAGAGTTTGACATATTTCAAATATTTTAAAAACTGATGAAAAAAATATTGAAATGAATAACTAGATATGTCGTTTAGAGATTTCTAAAAAAAACGCCTAAATAATATCCGAAAGATTAGAATGTTTTTTAGACAACTTTATTATATTTTTTTTTTTTTCTAAATATTTCTATTGAGCGATTGTATGTATACATATCGTTATTAGGTATAAAGGTTTCAGATCTCTCTATTTTCACACATTTCTAAATCTACGATAATATCGATTTCAATCGTTGATTCACGGGTAAAACTTGAAACGACCAAGTGGTAAGATCAAGTGGCCCCCAAGAGCATTATTAAGAACTTCGATAACTGACCAAACGAGTCACCGCCATCAGCTTACAAACGATCAGCGATCAAGTGGCCCCCAAGAACACTATTATCTATCTTTGATAACTGACCAAACGAGTCGCCGCCATCAGCTTACACGCGCAATTAACTTTCTACATGAGAGTGCCGGCTTAAATCCAACAAAGGTGCGACCGCGTTGAAATTTTTTCCCGGCTTTCACCGGAGTAGCCGATCGAAAAAGAAACGAGGCCACTGACCCAGAGAACATGCCAAGCGATATGCTGAAGAGCCTCCTCCTCGACCCTGACCCACAGCTCATAAGTTATGAAGTTGATGTCCTTCAGTTTCCGTCATGCCTAAATCGTGATTTAGTATATCGTCGCTATTAATGTTTCTATTGCGTGTATACTTGTATCTCCGACTGACCCGTTTTAGTTCTCAAAAGTGAGATATCTATCGAAGATGGAAATCTGTTCATATCTCAAGTAAAAGTAATAACATGTTGAGTAATCTATTCTTGAAATATTTCATTACAATATAATGAAATATAACATCTTATTTGATAATTGTTGTAGATATCTAAAGTAAAGTTCGAGTTAATAATTTCTGTTTTGGACAATTACTATAGTAAAGTTGTTACTATAATCTATTGTCAACTATTAAATTAATTTATTAAAAAGTATGGAAAACGAAACGGCACACAATATTACTAAAAAAAAAAAATGGAAAACTAAATATCTGAAAATAAAAATTAAATAAAGACTACAATTAATGAGATGCAAGAAACATTATTTACTTCTATTCGATAGATGTACATATAACAAAACGATGAATATATTAAATACTATTTTTAGAAATTTTTTCTAAAAATGATGGTTCTCATATTCATGTCCACATATAATTCACAATTCTAATAAGTATATACATTCTTTTAAAAAATTGTATTTCATCAAGTACGTTGGTTTGATCAGATATTTAATTAAAGCCATAATGAATATATTTAATTTAATAAAAAATTTGAAAATAAAATATCTCGAGTAGATGTGCATATACGAGACATTTTATTAAACGTTACGTTATTTTCGTTTTAACAAAAGATTTTTTTGAGGATTGTTTCGATCAGTCGTATTGCGTAAACATAAAATTTTGTAAAAAGCACGAAAGACTCTGAAGAATACAAATAGTAGACTGGTATCATGCATTATCGAGGGACTGATCAGACCCCAATGGGCATTTAACGCCCATTCTGTGCCATGCCAGAAGTAGACGGCCTTGTCCGTGGCATAAAATTTTCATCGCTGCGTGGCACGGCGTCATAAAGTTCGAAAGAAAGTGTGCTTACGTGCTGCAGGTGCAACGACCGGCAGGGGGAGAGTTTTTAGGTGAACATCTCCACATGGGAGATTGTGAATGCGCGCGTGTGACTAGACGGGTCTGTAGGTAGGTGAGTAGCGAGGAAGGAGGTCATGACCCAGATCGGAGACCAGTTTGACCGCGCCGAAGGATTCCGATATACCGTTATCATTGTCGTCGCTTTAAGTAGGCTGCTCGATCGGCAACTGTCAACTTCCTTCCACGGTAGCCAATGGGAAAAGAGGGGAAAAGGAATGCGTTTCTCTTCATTAAAGCCTATAGAGAGAGAGAGAGAGAGAGAGAGAGAGAAACGATACGCCAAGTCACGGAAAACAGTACGTCCCACCCTGGTCGATGACCCGGACGAAACGAAATAACTTCATAACTTCAGGTTTGAAGGTCGTATTCCCAAAAGAGCTGTTATCTCTCTGGTCATGACCCAGATCGGAGACCAGTTTGACCGCGCCGAAGGATTCCGATATACCGTTATCATTGTCGTCGCTTTAAGTAGGCTGCTCGGCTGCTCGATGTCAACTTCCTTCCACGGTAGCCAATGGGAAAAGAGGGGAAAAGGAATGCGTTTCCCTTCATTAAAGCCTATAGAGAGAGAGAGAGAGAGAGAGAAACGATACGCCAAGTCACGGAAAACAGTACGTCCCACCCTGGTCGATGACCCGGACGAAACGAAATAACTTCACGAAAAGTGGTTTGAAGGTCGTATTCCCAAAAGAGCTGTTATCTCTCT